TGTCTGAAAGGAAGTAACGCTAGAGTAGACTCGCGAAAAGTGTATAAGACACTTTTAAGATCAACTAAATAGCTAAGCCCAAGGGAAGTCGTTCGGGGAGGCCCTCCCTAATTCCACAAGGGTGAGAAGAAACACACACGATAACGAAACGTTGAATCATGTAGAATTCGTAGGGTAAATGCAAAGCAATTTATAGTAAGAATATGCAGTAAGCTAAGCGAAGAGGTAAGCAAGGTTAGACTATACTACAACTACTAAACGTGTTATTTCTACAACTACACTACTAAATACAAAAAAAATTAAGAACATCTTCAATCAACAATTACTTCAAACAAAAAAAAAACAAAAATAAGCATGCAAAATAAAAACTAAATCAAATTAACTACAAAAAAACAAAAGAACATGCAAAATAATAAACTAATTTGAATAAAATCAACTTAATGAATTCTACTAGATAGAGCATGCAAGATAGAGAACTATCTTAACTACGGGGTCATCTTTGTCTTCTCCAACGTCGATCTGAAACAGATACGGTGGCAATCACATTAATAAAGAGCAATTAAAATTAATTATATCAAGTATTCTCACCTTAATTAACTGTAGACCGTAATGTTCCAATGTTTGCAGGTGTGAAAAGCAAACCAAATCCAGGTGGAATACCAATGCAGAAAATTTCTTATTTCAGTGAAATTCAAATAAATATGCAGTTGCTCTCACTTATCAGTTCAAAACTAACTGTATAATGATGCAAAGCGAAGACGAAAACAGCAAATCAAGAATATAGTTCACCAAAGACCACACCCATGTAGACAATGGTTGTTTCAGTACGACCAACTGAACTTTACCTCCCTCTCATTTGTTGAACGATCTGTAGAAATGGGAAAAAAAACATATTAATCACACTATAATTAAGGAAGAGATTAAACACACCTAAAAACACGCATCAAAAACCAAGTAAATCAGCTGAACTATAAAATGGCGACAACCATCAAGTTTACACAATGACAGACCAAATTTGACATATAAATGAGAAATAATCATAGATGCAGATAACATTAATTTATGATGTACACTATAGATAGTTTTCCACAGATGCACCTATACATACGCCACAAGAACAATCTATTCTCTGGCCAATAGATAACAGTTTAAAAGAAATGCCACTATAGGTTAATAAAGAGCAATATTAATTACGTCTTGTTTTCTCACCTTAACTAACTGTAGAAAGTAGCAATACAAAGTCTACCAGTATGAGAGCAGAGCAAAGCAAATCTAGGAGGGATATCATTGCAGACTATTTGTTGTCTCAGTGGCTTCCAATTTAATTTCCATTTACATCCCATTCTCAGGACCAAAACTAACTGCATTATGTTGCAAGGTGAAGACATCAAAAGCATCGGTTGTTTCAGTAGCACCAAAATTAACTGTAATTCCTTCTCATTTGTTGGGCAATCTATATAAACGGGCAAGAAAAAGTAATTAATTATCACTTTTAAAGCAAGTTAATCAGTACCATTTAGATTGATAAAAAAATCAGTTCCACATTAATTATTCTGTTTTAACTACTGCCGTTTCTGAAACGTTGTTTAAAAGTTGTCTATTGAAGCAAGTTACAAATGTTTAAGAGATAGAAGTTTCTGGGGCCTCATTTACTATTCTTAATTGGTACTGTTACTTACCAGTTTATTGTCATGAATCCTTCCTTCAGCAACAGCACACTGTCTCCAATCCGAATGGAAAAAAGGCACTTCCATGCTTCCTTTAGGACCATAGATACACATCTACTTCCTGTAGCAAATGAGGACTGATGCAACCGATGTTCCTTATTTTAACGGCATCTGGAGCTTTCTAATGTTCCTGTAAAATAAAATCCATGCATGAAATATCAGACTAAATAACGTACATATAATGTTTTTTTATCTATTAATACCAAATACGTTACAAACATAATATAGAATGTAAGCTCACTTTAATTAACTGCAAGAATCTCAAAGATGAAAAGTTAACAGATAAAAAACCATAGACCACTTGCTTTTGCATTCAGATTAAAATAAACTTCAATCTCCTCTCTAATTTATCTTCAATCTGTAGAAATAGAGAAATAACGAATTAATTATTGTATGAAGTAAATAAATAATGAAATAGGTTAAAAGCACTTACAAAAAAGCAAGTAAAATTGTAAAATTCATCATAAGAGATGTTACGCGGAAAATTTTAAGCACTTAACCCCTAAACCTTTTCTTCTGACTTTTAAATTAAAGTTAATATATACGTAGAAAACGAACAAAAAAGAATTAAACACTCACCTTAAATAAATGAAACGTAAAATAAAATAAAAACAGGTAATCGACGACACATAAAATGGCGACATACCGTTAACAACTATTTTGTTAATTTTTATTTACGAATCAACTTCTGACCATTAATTACCTACTTTATTATATTTCTTTCCTTTCGTCTTCGTTAATAATGGAATGAAAAATAAACACTACAATTTTCATACGTAAATAGAACCAACAAAGTTTTTTGTCCGCATTCTTGTAACTATAAAAACCATTATCAGAAATCGTATAAAAAATTTGAATGTACAGTACACAACGTAAAAATTCCTAGATTAGACAAATATCCAAAACAAAGTAAAAAGCATTCATTTACATAAA